TTCAACAAAACTCTTCAAAAGATTTCTCAGCCTAACAAGAAAATCTGTATCATTCCAAACACTATGAAGAGTCCGCCGTCCTTCTCTAGAATACCACTAGGAATGCCCATTTAGAAAATGATATTCTCAGTCCATAAATATATTTAAAGAAACAGAACATTGAACCCACAGCCAATCACTGTAGTTGCTACCAAATTAGCTAGCTATATCCTTCCCTCCAAGGCATCACCGTTTCAGTACGAGAGATTGAATCCAAAGGCCAATCTGTCATTTTGCAAATTAAAACAAAAACAGATCAACCTGTGCTTCTCATATCTACCCACCCCTCATCCATATAGAGGCAAGCCAAAGGAATCTATACTAGCCATGGTTCCTAAATTGTTTACAAAGGACTACTTCCATATGAAGCTAAGACAACTTCCCAGGCTGCAAAACACAAGTGAATCTAAGATGATTTTCCTGGTTTAAAAAAGACAGCTTGTATAACAACTAAAACTGCTAAAAAGTACTTCTGGCATCACCCCTGATACTTTGATGTTGCTCAGATGTTCTCCCCATCAAAAACCAAAACAAAATGAAAAAAACAGTATTAATTTCATAATACTATGACATTATCTTGTACCAGTTAAGAGTCTACTTGATTGCAATTAGCTCAGGACCATACACAGTGCATATAGTATACAAAACAATTTAAATACTTGAAATACAAGTCCAAGTCCAGACACCACAGATAGCAAGATAGGTACAAATAAATGATTAAAACATTTTACTCAATACAGTCTGCAAATTATATTCTTTATCTAAAGAATGCCATGCTATACAGTTTTTAAAATAACTGAAAGAACCAACAGAATCAGTAATGAGAGATCCACACCAAAGTCCAGACACAATCTGTCAGGACCAGTCTCACCATCCTAGTTCCACAGCAAAGCTAAAATGCATTCTGAAGCAGCCAAGAAACAATATTCAGTCATGAAAAACTGGGAATATTTTATCACTACATTTTTTATTAGCACCATCCTGTACATTTTTATCTAAAATTAGGTTTCATGATATCCAGCTGAGCTTAGTGTCAAGCACATAGCTTTAGGACTGAATTAATTTCCCTAATACAGAATTGTTGGATATTTCATGCCACAGCTGGCTGGGCAACACGAGAAAATGATGGCTTTTTGCAGAGAGGCCAGTCTCTGCTTTCTTTGGTGCTACTGCAAATATTTCTATGACTCAAATAGTTTCCATAATTTATTCCTGTTGGACTTAAGCAGCCACAGTGTGCATTGCAACTGTGACATCACAAGCAATCTATCCAAATCCAGTACTAAATCACTCAAGGCAACTGAGACAAGCAGCTGCCTCTCATACTCTCACACAACTAGTGTATCAAAAACAGTAACAAACACAGACTGCATTTTTGTGATTTTAACACAAAGAATTGTGTAGATATCATAGCAAATTACAACCTACTGCTTCTCTGGTTCTCCTTTTACTTCCAGCAGAGTCATTACTGGAAGTTGTAGAGCCATTACAGTATGCCTGAAGCAAAAAAACAACAACAAAAAAACACCTCTACGCCGGGAGAGACAAGGAAGAGCCACAACTTCCAGATGTTGGGGGTACTGTCGAGCTAGGGAAATGTGCCGACAGTTGGATGTTCGTTTCCGTAGAGGAGACTGCTGTGGCGACACCTCCGAATTCAAAAGATAAATTACTGTTGCCCGCCCGATAGAGATAGGGCTCGAATGAGCCGAGGCCGGGCTGGATGTGACATCAGCCTCAAGATGGCCATGGCTCGGAGATTGGCTCAGTGTGGAAACCGAAGCCTGAGCCTGTGGAGGTGGTACGGAACTAATCCCTTCAGAGAGGGAGTCTGGGTCTGGCAGGTCTCAAGATGATTCCTCAAGTATAGGTGAAGGAAGTGAAGCTGGAGCCGGAGGAATTTCTCTAAGTGGTGCAGACTTGGAAGAATGTTTATCCTTCTTCTGTTTACTGACTACTTTATTTTTCTTGTGACCCTCTCCAGGCGGTGATTTCGACATTGACATCAATGTCAAAGAATTCTGCTTAGAAGATTTAGAGGAGGACCTCGGGGACGGAGTAACCGGGACTGAAGATGCAGCTCAGGATGGGGGGGTAGGAGGCAGAACGGAGGTCAACTCCATGGCTGCCGGGCTTGATGGGGAAAGTGATTTTTCTCAGAGGTACGATCGAAGTCTCTGCAAGCGAAGCTTAAAGACCGGTTTGGTCAACTTCTTGCACTCTTGACAAGAATGAATTTGGTACCTCTCACCCAAACAAAATAAGCAGCTGTCGTGGCCGTCCGTAAAGGGGATCTTGTTGGCGCACAATGTACACCGCTTAAACGGGCCTCAGGAGGCCATAAAATTTTTGAAACCCAGGAGAGGTGGAAAGGGGAAAAGGAAGGAAGACTCACAGGAAAACATTAACGACTGTCCAATATCCAAGCCGAAAATCAGAATCCAAATACTGTAATCACAATCACAATCAAGTCCATAATCCAAAAACGATAACCAATCATCAGTCCGGGGGTCAAAACCGAGGTAAACAACGTACAAACCAGAATCCAATAATCGTAAACTCTAGCCAGTCCAAGATCAAAATTTTCCAGAGAATAGAGACAATAATCAATGAGCCAGACCAGAATCACTATCAGGTAATGGAAGAAGAAAACAGCTCTAGGTACAAAGAAGTCCGATCACAGCGGCGGCAAAAAGAAACTGAAGTATTACGGGCAAGTGGAGCATGTGTGCCATGGGGAAACGTACTATGAATCACATGTTTTAAGCATGTTCTGAGGAGTCCTACGCAGGCGCAGTCTTAACCCAATTGTATGCATTCACAGAGGCCATGAAAAAGAACAATTACCTAGCAGCCATACAGAAAGAAAGAGAGCTAGTAGCAGGGTGGATTTGATTTAAATCAAGTCAATTTAAATCATGATTTTAATTTTAAAAATTGGATTTAAATAAAAATTGATTTTTTGTTAAAACTGTGATTCCCTGTTCCCCAAAAAATAAGACCTAACCTAAAAATAAGCCCTAGTATGATTTTTCAGGATGCTCGTAATATAAGCCCTACCACAAAAATAAGCCCTAGTTAAGTGAAACCCCACCCTCCACCATTGTGCAGCAACCAGAAGATGACATGACTGTATTTGAATAAATGTAGATTGTCGTACATGGAAAAAAAATATAAAACATCCCCTGAAAATAAGGGCTACTGTGTTGTTTTGGAGCAAAAATTAAGATAAGACCCTGTCTTATTTTCGGGGAAACACGGTAATAGTGAAAATCCCAAGGCATCTACATCGAACACGCATACATTCTCTGGCCATCATCTCATCCCTCCCAGATTAAAATCATGGAAGAGTCTTTTTTCAAAACATCTGTGAAGGAACCGTGCAGAATATCAGGACTGTAAGGTGGGAGAATTGGCCACCTCTTAAACTGGATGGAACCCCAGGAAAGTCTATCCATTGGTCACATGGAGTACTGAGACACCTGAAGTCATCTAATAAACTACAAAGTACAGCTGGCAAAACTAAAGTGAACCTATGAAAATGGGTTCCATTTTTTTCTACTAACACAAACAGTCCTTTGCAAGCATGGAGAACAGGCAACTTCACATCTACATCAGTGTTCTCTATGCCCTTCAACATGTGCTACTGAAGACGTGATGTTAGCCGACCCACATTTTCTTGATGTTACCCATATATTTTTGATTGTACTGTTGTACTTCTGAAATGAACCAAAAAAGAAAGACAAACAGAAACAATCAACTCACCTGGATGAGATCATGGAAAGAATAGGAACACAGAGAAAGCTTATGTACCTTTAACTACTAAGAGTAAGAAGGGTCCACAACTATGACTACCCAGTAACATGGGACACCAACACAATTTCAAAAGAATAGCAATTTTTGAAAGACCACTTGGAATAAGAGAAAAGTATGCTTCTTTTAGAATGGCACCATGTAACTATATCATGGTTCAAAGAAGGCTGCTGCAACACATTAATTATTTGTTGCCTTTCAATACACAAAATAGCAAAGTATGGAAAATTATTTCATTTTATTTGTATGGAGTGGGAATCAACAAAGTCTTGTTGGCTGTTAGAACCACAAACTGACTACTGACTGATCTCAGGGAAATATCATCTTCAAATAACTGAGGTGGAAAATCAGTTTGTAAACAGAAGACTGTGTTAAACTGAAGAAACTAGGCAGATAAAGTACTTTGTACATTAAATAACGACAAGAGACATTAAAAAGGGTTCATTTAGAGATCTGAAAGACCAGTTACCAAATCCTCCTTTCAGCATGAGAAACATAGTGATAGCACCACGTAATAAAAAAAATTACACAAGATTTCTGTCACAAGAAATACAATTAGAAGACAACAACACCCAGCAAAAGCCTAATGGCAGTTCCTATGTTAGTCGCAAAAACTCAAGTAACAACTCTCTGGTATCAGTCACAGTTTGAGCAACCGAGACAAACAGATCTGGATCTGCCTTCGCATAGTTTTAAAAATGGCAGCAGACACCTGACAGCACTCTCTGGCATATTTTAATAGTTGGGGGTGGGGACGGTCCTAAAAAAATTAAACCAAAACTAAACCACCTATTTGGTGCGTCTAGAAAGCAGGGATAAAAAACCCCAGAAGTTTGAGAGGAGCTGTGGGAGCTTCCTCTCACGCGAACGAGCGAGCAGACGGAACTACGAGTGTCACGGCTGCCCGATTCGCTGCTCTCCCGACCGGCGCTTCTCTTTCACCACCACCCCCGCCGACCCCCGCAGCCGCCAAGGCCCCGGACACACGTCCCCGAACGGGCGGAGAAAAAGAAATCCAGCCCGACCTGAAGAAGGCCGTGTTACGCCTTCGCTCCCCGCTGCCCAACACGGTGCGCCGCCCACCCACCCCAGAGTCGTCCCCGCAGGGACGCGTCCCCAACCCCCGGGTGGCCCGAGATCCTCCTCACCCCCCGGCCGGTCCAGCTTCAGGATGTCTCGCAGGTGCTGAGTCGCATCCTCGATATCGATGCTCGCGGAGGCCATCGGGCCCGCCAAATCAGGGTCCGTCTCCAACACCCCTCCCGCCGCTGCTACCGCCTCTTCCTCCGCCCGGACAGGCCAAACCCCGGCGCCCGACCCCACTTCCGCCTCCGTTCCGCTCTTCCCGGCCCCTCCGTCGGCAAACAAGACCTCGGCGTTTAGGTTCCGCCGGAGCCTTTAAATTGCGGGAGAACCTCCAAGACGTGTAAAGGGGTCATAAATGCCCGAAGGTGCAGGGTAGCGGGTCCCGTGTCTCTCCCGGACCCTTCGGGTGTGAGGAGGCTGGTGTTCTTCATTTGAGCCATAAAATGTAGGTTACGCAAGTGTGCCTGCGGGGAGACAAACCCTGTTGAACACGAGGCGGGTTATTTCTGTGGAAACAGAGCGACGGTCGCATTGCCGAGTTAACGAAGAATAACTGCAGGTGAGAATCAGACCGTTTTGCCCGTTTTGAGCAGGGCAGGCGGACCTTGCGAGGCGGGGCTCCAGGGGGAAAAAAAAGAAAAGAAACGCCTCCCTCTTTCTACACAGTTGGCAACAAGACCGGTGCGCTCCCAGCCATCCGGTAGTGAATCCGCGTTTCTACGTCCAGCCCGTTCCGTGTTCCGTGCCGGCTGTGCCCGGGTGTTGTGCCTTCGGTGCTCTCCAGTCGGGAACAGACTTGGAGCGGCCCCAACAGGCCTTTCAGGGTGAGATATTTGAAGAGTGATAAATTCACACACTGTTCTCCAGAATCCTAGTCTGTCACTCTGACCGGTATCACCCGTTTTTAATCACCGCGTAGCTTAATTACAGAACATAAGACTTGGCTCTGAAAGAATTACCATGTATGTATGTTTCCCCACTTTTCAATAATACAGTTGTTCCTTGGGAGATTAAATCTCTACAAAAAAAAGTGACCTCACCACGTTTGCTTTTTATTTGTTAAGACATAGTGATCTCTGCCAAAAATTTGTTCAGGACAGATAGAACCAAGATCTTTGCAAAACTCTGTAAACAAGCATTTCATACATTTCTTAACACATTCGTGTTCATTTAAGGTTCCAGAACAAGTATCCTTGGAGGAGCTAAATCATAATCGAGAAAAGTGGTGCCTCATATATGTGAAAGTAATAGTTGCAGAACACATTTTTGGCATGCAGAAGGCTTTAAGGTTAATCCTTTACATCCAAATTATTATTTAATGTTCGTACTGTATAAAGGAAAAGGTTCCCCTTGATATTTAGTCCAGTCGGGTCCGACTCTAGGGTGCTCATCCCCGTTTCCAAGCCGCAGAGCCAGCGTATATCTGAAGACAGTTTCCGTGATCACATGGCCAGCATGACTAGACACAGAACATCGAGGTGGTACCTATTTATCTACTTGCATTTACAGTACATGCTTTTGAACTGCTAGGTTGGCAGGAGCTGCAACAAGTGACGGGAGCTCACTCCGTTGCGTGGATTCGATCTTACGACTGCTGGTCTTTGACCTTGCAGCATAGAGGCTTCTGCGGTTTAACCCGCACCACCACCACGTCCCCTCATACTGTATACTGTTTAATATAATAAAATCCAAGTGCTTTACTTTTAAAAAAACATTTAATGAAAAGCATCTTACATCAAAAAGACATCTAGTTTAATAATAAGTAATATTTTTTTACGGTCATATTATGGACATTTAGTTGAGGTAGTGAATCTTGAAGTCTGCTGTTCAAGAGTCAGATCAAACAACACTGCATTAGTTTCACATCCACATATTAAATTCAGGATTTCTGCCCTAGAGCTCTGATTGGTGGAACAGCATGGAAGATATTTGTTTGCTACAAGGAAGATTATACCATTAAAAAAATCCTAGATTTTTGGGAAACAAAACTTTCTAAATGTGTCCATAGAAAATAATGGCAATCGTTATTTCTCTCAATTCCCTCAAGTGACACATTTTTCATTGCAATCAGTGTTTTTTTAAAAAAAAAAGCCGAAGCTTTTCTTGACATTTTCTTCCTAGGTGCCTTAAATCAGTGGTTCTTAACCTTTGTTACTCGGATGCTTTTGAACTGCAACTCCCAGAAACCCCAGTCAGCACAGCTGGTGGTGAAGGCTTCTGGGAGTTGCAGTCCAAAACTCCTGAGTAACTCAAGGTTAAGAACTAGTGCCTTAAATTATACCCTGACACACAATCCAGCTTGAGCTGGGATGGAATTTATAGTCCAACACACTATGTGCCAAGCTGGCTAAAATTCTAGATAGGCATCCTTGGTATTAATTCAGTGGACAAATTGTCACATAATTCCATCCACCACCTGGTACTGAGTAAATTCAACAGAAGTAGGATCAAAAATTACAAATTCTTCCATGATGCTTTGGGTTACAGATTGGTTAGAAGCATTACAGAAGGTCCTCTTAAAGACCATGTTCACTGGCAGCATACCTTTGAACATATGCAGTGGCAATCATAGACTCTTATGAAACATTTTTAATATACTTTTCTAACCCAATGTATCCTAATGGTGACTGTTATAATTCAACCCAAGCAGCTATTTCCATCTCAGGCATTTATATGAGAAACCAAAGCTGGACTCTGTAGCAACTCAGTTAAAACTGGCCATCTTATCTGCACAAACATTGGGCAGTCCAGTACCTAAGCATGCTAACATTTCACTTTTATCAAGGGCATCCTTTCTAAATGGCAGTAGATGCATGGAATGCCATATGGACATGTTTTGTTTTTCATCAGTGCATAATCATAATAAAACATCTGTTTATGGAATGCTACCCATCCTCAGGGTCAGACAAGTAATAAGAGAAAAACATTCTTGTTACATAGAAAAAAATAATGAACGCACAACCATCACCATTACATGCCCCAAAATATCTCCATTCTACCTTGCTATTACAAGAAGTGAAGCATTATCAGTTACTTTTATTATCACTGTTCATCTCACTTGATGCACTGCAACAGATACAACACAGAAATCTGCATTAAACAGCTTAAGATAAATGTAGTGTCTTAAAATGAGGTACAAGGAAAATTTATACACTTCCTGTTTATTTGTGGCTGTGGCGTTTACCCTGTAGCCCCTGCTTGTTTCACCAAACCCAGAGCTCACAAAGGTATCCCAACACGTCTCTTGACACGCTGCCACCAGTTGCTCTTTATCAACCTATATGTCTTTATGAAAGACTAAGGTCCATTCAGTACTGACTGTTTAACAGAAACAGGTTTATTGATTACATGTGGTTTCAGGAATAATTCTTAAGCACATTCTTGAAGTTTCACAAAGCTTCAAGATTTTTGTTTAATCTCTTCTATATTAATTAACACAGGTCACACTGCCTAATCACTCTTTAAACACTCTACCTCAAAACCCCAAACTATCCTCTTCTCTAGCTCTCCCTGACTCTCTCTCTCTCTTACACTCTGACTGAACTTCTCTTCCAGGCTCCGGCTCTTCAGCTGCCTCACAACCATATTAACATACAACTTATGAACAATGCATAACTTATAATACATAACTTAGGGTGGATGCCACAGTGGCCTACCTATGTGACAGGATATTTATCTTGTACTGACAAGGACCCCATTTCACTCTTCCTGTATTAAGAATATTTTGAAATTGGTGATTTTTCTACTCGATCTGCCTACTTTTTCTGTCCATGTGGCATTGAGAAGAATTATTGAAATCGTATGGGGAAAGCTTTCCCCTTAATAAAGAAGCTATAGTAATTCTATGCATGAGCTGACTTAGCTCAGTTAGGTTTCTGGCTGCAGGGCCAGAGGCTGAGTTCAATTACCCATTGTGCATCTCAAAAGAGGCAGCCTGTGTAGCCTTGGGCCAAGCGGCACAGTCGCAGGATGACCCCCGGAAGAAGGGAATGAGATACTACTGAGTACCTTCTACCTAGAAAACCATGAAAAGGATTGCCGTAAGTCAGAATTCACTTGACGTCATGCAATTATTATACTGTATTGTAATTCTATGGTTATCTTTTTACCACTGAAAGTAGGATAACTTCTTCACAGGTTTATGGTTTTAGAAATGAATTCTACCTCACCAAATAATTTAAATAATATATATAAATAGTTGGCTATCCATTTTGTAATCCAGTGTTTCAATGAAACAAGGGCAAAACCCCACCTTTCCTTACCTTTATTTTTATCATTACTTTGGATTTTAGGCTTAGCTTTAAAGCCACACTATTTATTAAACAATCTTTATTTATACATTTGCCACAGATACAGTCTTGACAAGCCAAGTATACACAGTAACTTCTGGTTGCTTCTTGACAAAGTCAGTGTCACTCTTCAGTCCATGCTCTTAGGATATTACTAAAACAAAGCTTGCTTTCCACCCATGTACATAGGTACCTGCTATGTAGCAGCACGTAAACTGTTACAGTCACTTAGATGTGATACTTCTACAAACACACCACACCCAGTAGTACATAAGCAGTTTTAGGTGCATCACTGTATAGCCAGCAAAACAAAGAAATGCGGAGGGGATTTTAAGGTTTACCCAATTTACGACCCAGGAAGCTTTACCTAGAAGAGAGGAAAAATCCTGGTTTTCTTCTTTATCCAGAATTATAAAAGCAGACTGTAAAACACCTGGTGACAATACATGGCTGATGGGCTGTTTGATTTTGCTGAGTGCAGATCTGTCCTATATTACAACATATTTAGTTTTTTAATGGAAAGTGAGTATAGTGGTACCTCAATTTACGAACTTAATCTGTATTGGAACGGTGTTCGTATGTCGAAAAGATCGCAAGTCGAGGCAAACTTTGCCATAGGAATGCATTGAAAACCATTTAATCCGTACCTGCTGTTTTCTGTTCATGTCGAGGCGCTGTTCGTAGGTAGAGGCATTAGTTCCCATAGGAACTAATGCAAAGCCGGTTAATCTGTACTCTACCACTGGGGGAGATTTTTTTTTTAATTGAACTTAGGTAAAAAAGGGCAGGAAAGTTTTTTTGTTCGTAAGTCAAGGCTCCGTTCGCAAGTTGAAGCAACTTTTTCAAACGGAGTCGTTCGTAACTTGAATCGTTCACAAGTGGAGACGTTTGTAAGTTGAGGTACCACTGTATTTCACATCATTTATTTAATGAGCAGTCATCTATATTCCCAGATCAGACATTCTTATTCTTCCTCCTTTTTTTATTTCTTGATGAAGCATGTCATTTCCATTGAGCAATGCAGGCTGGATCAACTTTTTTCTCCTCCACTTTGATTTGGGGAGGGTATATCCTGTTATTATCCTCCACCTGGCTAACAAAACTGTCTTGTCTTCATGCACCTCCTTTAAGTTCATAATAGAATGCCACATGCTCATGTTGGGAGTCCAAAGTCAGTATGATTTGTTGCATATGGATAACCATCACTCCCTTTGTATGGATGACAAAAAACACGTATTTACTTAGCCAAAGAGTAATGATTCCTTTCAGGCAAAGCATGAAACTCCTATTTCAAGAATTTTTGGTAAGGCATTTCTGTTTTAATATGGCTATTAAACAGGGTCCCTCTTAAGGCCTATACAAGTTCCAAATCAAGACATGGCACAATGAAATGGCTTTAGAAATGAACATCTGTATCTGGACAAACCTTCACAAATTCAAGCCAGCCTCTGTTTGCCTTTTAAGCTGGGTTGGACAACAGCTGCCTTAGGTAGACATGGTATATTCAATTAACAAACCAAATGCCAAGATAACTAAATTCAAACTATAACTGAAAATCAGAAGTTTAAAAAAAGATATTTCTTCTGTTTGATGTTGTGTGCAGTCAAACTGCTTCCAAATTATGGTGCTTGTAATAAGATTTTTGAGATGTCTGCTATCTTCAGTGAGTTTCCGTGGCCAAGCAGAGATCTGACACAAGGTCCTGGTCCAATACTCTATCCGCTATATTGTACTAGCTCTCTTATAATTTTTTGGTATTGTAAGCTGTCAAGTTGGAACCAACCATAATAGAGCTGTCAAGGAAAGTGAGCAATGTCCTCTCTAATTTTCAGCCCTGCTGGGTGAAGCTCTGCCCCTCTTGTGTGCGACTCAGACCTGCCTGTTGGGGCTTCTTCACAACCAGAACCAAAAGGGCTCAAAATGCTCACTGTGGGTGTGTGAAGAAGGAGGAAAACTGCACAGAGGGAGCTGGAATTGCACGTGCTCGCACAGCCGCACACCTTAGAGGTAACCTTGTGAGATATATAAGGAGTGCTTTTTACAAGTTCCATACCTGTCGTGAGCTTCCATGGCTGAGTTGGGATTCAAACACAGGCCTCCTGTATACTAGTCTGTTTCTCTATCCACTACACCACACTGAGGATCTCCTCTTCTAACTATTCAACCACATTTGGAAACATGAAGTATCACCTTGAGTACTCAGCACACCCTGGAAACTGCTTAGAGTTCTGAAAGTATCTTAATACTCTGTTCCCAGCAGATACAAGGCAGCTCAACTCATTTTAATAAGTACCTGAATAAATCTCTTAATAAGTTATTGGCAATTTTTAAAATAGTTGTTCTCCACCTCTCCTAAGCTACCCCCAATAAATTAGCTTTGTAGCTGTAAATATTTTCTAGAGAATTTTCCCAGCAGGTTAGGAATACTGGCACTATTTAATTATTGATACAATGTTTTTGGTTGCTTTGGTTGCTGATGGCTACCACCTACTACAATTAGGAACACTCTGCAATGTAAAATACAAGCAAGCATAAAAAGTGTAGTCATCAGTGCCTCAGGCCAAACGATTAGTTGCTGATGGCTACCACCTACTACAATTAGGAACACTCTGCAATGTAAAATACAAGCAAGCATAAAAAGTGTAGTTATCAGTGCCTCAGGCCAAACGTATAGCTTGCTTTGAAACATGCTTTAGCAAGGTAAAAGCATTTCAGGCTAATAAGTGTTGCACAGATTGAGTTCTTGGACAAAAAAAACAGCAAATGGCATGAATATGTCAGATTAGGAAGCTTAGTGCCCAGAAGGGAAGCTTGCCAGTAATATATACGAGACTGCCACTTTTATTCATGGTCTCCCCAATGCATGGTACAGTATTTTTGTATACAAGAGTGAAGAAAAAAAAGTTCAGTATAATGATCCAATAATGTATACAAAAATACAGATTTATACTATCATTTTTCAGGGAGAGGGAAGGCATCTCTTAGATATTAAAAGCAATTAGTAAATTTACACTTTGAAAGTGGTAATCAATAAATCTTCTGTAATTAAAAAATCTGCATTTTAAAATTGGCAACAGAGCAATACAAATTTAGGTTGTTTCCTGCCTTGAACAAGTGGTTGGTTAGACTCAATAGCCTTATACGTAATAAGATTCAAGGAAAATATATTACACCTCTCTTAAAAGATATGGCAGGTCAATCGGACTCGGACTATTGTAACCAATTGTTAATTGACCAAAATCGGAATACTACGGAACTGGTAGCAAAATTTTGGGCAGCATGCTATAGTAGTCAGAATAGACAGCTAAACTCATAAATCTTGGTCTTATATTGCTATATTTGCTGTCTTAGATGTTTTTCTTTTTTGTTTGTCTGGTATGGCTCTTTGTAGTGCATGCCAGTTTCTGAAGTTTTGCATTCAATTTTGTCTTATTTTTATTTATGGCTCGATGCCGTAACAATAAAGTATGTATGTATGTATGTATGTATGTATGTATGTATGTATGTATGTATGTATGTATGTATGTATGTATGTATGTATGTATGTATGTATGTATGTATGTATGAGCCTTATAGGCCCCTTCCAACTCCTTTACTCTATGATTCTATCAGCTATAGAAATTTTTAAAAATTCTATAATTATGTCCAAGCTGTGTATTCCCAGGGCCAGGTATTAAGATAAAGGATTGGATATACAAGACAAGAGGTTAGACTAGTTACAGACTGAATATTCAACAATTTAACCTGTTAGGAAAATTGCATGGTTTTATTGTTTAATATAGCAGTGAAACATTGGAACAACAAAAAAAAACCCCAATATTTGAACTGGATTCAGGCTGCTGTTCTTTTTTTTCCTTTTACTTCTTTGGGTTATTAGAAAAACCTGTCAGTACAGAAACACAACCTTTTGTATTAGGATTCTTCCCGAGGCATGCTGGTAAAACACACACTTCCTTTGTCAAATGCAGCTAAGTCTAACTTCCAAACATCATGCACAAGGAACTCTTCTAGTGACACAACATAAACTCTTCGGAAAGACATGTCACAGGTCTCGCTGGCTTGCCATGGTGTTGTAGGTTTGTGTATGATATTTGGAATGTTCCATGAATGTGATTAATATCTGTAAGGAGGAGGAAAAAAGAAATGGACAGGTGCCTCGGAGATGCTGTCTCAACCAAAGTTGTGCAATGCTAGCCTGAACATGTCATTGGTGCAAACCCAAGCATCATTGATGTTCTTTAATAGAAATATCTGGTGGAATCCCATAATAGGATCTTCATCAGCCTGTGAAGATAGAATAAAAAACAATTTAGATACACTGCTTGGCAACAAATATATTTCTGATGGCAAATTCCTTCAAAGGAGCTAACTGTTTCACACATAACATTTCTCTCTTGCGAGAGAGAAAGAGATGTTTCTGACATGCACTATTCAGTCTCAGTGACACAGAATTATTACAGCAGGGACAATAATCAAGCTAACAAAAATTTGGGAAGTGATCCCAAATAACAAATATCAGTTACAATTAATGCTAGATTATAGATAATATATATGGTGCTGAATGTTTGTGGGCTATAAGCTTCTGGGGATTAAAACACTTTTTAAACAAAACCAAGGCAGTAGTACTATGGTCATCTAAGTATAGTCCAGTTACAAAATTAGATATCATATTTAGTTGTGTGAACTAGTAAAATTGTTCTTGACATTTGAGGAAGTCAGGCCTAACTTTTCTAGTTCACACAACTGGAAAAGATATAGTTGTAACCTGATCTGCTCACACATTAAGCCTAAGGCTTAGAATGTATAAGAGGATACAGTTATAAAGAAGTGTCATGTCCCCATAACTACTAATAATCATTCTTTAGTATAAGAAAGGAATGCCTTCGAAAGCAGCAATAAAAGGCTTTTCCAGCTATATTACAATGACATTAGCTATTTGCTGAGATAAATCTTTATTTTTATTACCACCTGGGATGAAAATGTGGTTTCCATCTGTCACCATGAACTAAACTATCTGTACTGCATTCTCGAAGACTTTCACAGCCTGGATCCTATGGCTATTGTATGTTTTTCGGGCTGTTTGGACATGTTCTGGAGGTTTGGCCACGTTCTCCAGAGCATGGCCAAACAGGCTGAAAAACCTACAACTTATCTGTATTGCCTTTGCTTAAAAACAACCAGTTTTAAACTTTATAGTATCTTTTCCTACAGTCACCAATAAAGACTCTGGCACATCTGTTGTTAGGTCAAATAAATGCATCCAGTGGGTAGCCTCCTGAATCCTGGAAAACCTACATGTCCAAAGAAAAATACAAACCCATATTCTACACACACATTACATAGGAATGGCATTTTTTCCAAGCCTGAAATAAGAAAGAATGCTTCTTGAAAGCATCTTCACAAGAGCTCTGCAGAATTATATATAGAAGTGCTTTTAGAAGCAAATCCTTTTATTACTGAAGGTTTCCCAAAACAGCAACCTGTCTTTTCCTTGCATATCAGCAACAAAATCAGGAGAAGGCAGAGTAGCCACATATTCATGCTGCATGCTCCACAAATACATCCACAGTTGCAGTTTAAACACACCAGGCCAAACCCTTTTTAAAAATCCAACTGTTCTCTAATTTTAGGTTTAATTGGGCAACTTTCCTCTTAGTTGAAAAGAAGCCTGTGTATTTTCAACTGTGTTCTTATTTGCCCTTATTTGCTTGGGCATTTCTCTTTCCCATTCTCTTAACATTTTTGTAACTTTGATTGTAAGTTTCTGGAGCAGAGGCCTGGCTATTTATTTCTTTGCTACATAGTCTATGGTGCCTTAAAGAGGAACTGGACCTTGGCTCCAGAACATTACCTCAATCTGCAAGGAAAAATGCAAATACACCTACAGGCTGTAGCTAAGACTGACTGCTACAAACATAAGGAGGCAAGCATTCATAGTGTGCTACACAAACATCCCAGATTTTGAAGCAATATTAGGTCCAGGATGTGTTAAGCAAGCAAATGCTGGCAAATAGAAAATACAGTTAATCTGAATTAGTTTTGCAATACCACCTTCCTAATAGAAAATTGTCCCTGCTGACTTCATGAGCCACAATCTGAAGATGGGTTCTCATTCTGCAACCCTGCTTTGATAACACAAGCAATGCTCATGCTGTTCAGACTGCAAAGGTCAACTATGATACAGGAGCAAGTAGAGGACTTCTTACTCAGTGACACTGTGAAGATCAGAGGTAGGAGAAGCAGAGGCTAAACATTGTGGAGTGCTAGCCTGAAGACTTCATTGGTGCATACCCACGCACCTTGTAAGCTTTTCAACAAAAAAGTCTGATGAAAACCTAGAACTTGGTCATCATCTGCCTGAGCAGAAGAGGAAAGAAGCCATTAATGTTATAGTCTGTAAATACAGAATGCCTGTGTTTTTGTGGGATTCTGTTATATATTCACTATGTTTTAAGCTTAGGCTTTCTTATGATGCACAGGTAAAGAACTATAATGAGGTGGTAAAAGTAAGATTCAAAGTTAAACTGCTGGACAGCTCAGTGGTTTAGATCTCTGAGTGCAGAGCCAGAGGTTGGCACTTCAATTCCCCCATTGCCTCCTTAACAGGAGCTGGACTTGATGATCAATAGGGTCTCTTCCAGCACTGCAGTTCTAAGTTTATTAGTAATACAAACTTCATCATTATCTCAAAAAAATAATTTAGCTAAAACTGTAGATTGTTTTTCTTTAACTGTTTTGCTGGAAGTATTCCTATAATGGCATGTTCTTAATTCATTATAATAAAACTTGCAAACACTTAACCAGCTATCTGCTGGCTTGAAATTAATCCTAGCGGGGGGGGGGGTTGCGGTGGGAAAATGCCCCATCTGTTAAGTTTTGAACATATGAACATGCTTTACCTAAAGTCAAACTACTGGCATTTAAAGTCTAAAGCTATCCACTCCATGTGGCAGAAGCTCTCCAAAGTCTTCCCCAGCCCTTTCTATATGAGATTTTTTTAACTGTAGGAGACACCAGTAGGAGCTGGGACCTTTAATATGTAAAGTAGGTGATTTCTCATGAAGCTACCAGCTCTTCTGGTTTTATTCTGTTAGACTAAAAATAAAAAAAATAGTTTGGAAAGGTGTGTAAAAAAAATTTACAATATTAGAACACCTGTGAACTTAGACTAAACCTTTGTGTTGAATTCTTTCCACCTACAGTAGTTCCTACATACAAAAAGATCTGCATATTCTTCTGCTGGAATTCTACTGCATATGACAGTAGTGAATGCCTCCTTGCAGCAGGGTAGCATCCCAGCATGTTTAAAGGAGGCAGCAATAAGAGCATTATTGAAAAAGCCCTCATTGGACCCCATAGTACTGGATAATTACCAACCAGTCTCTAATATCCCATTTTTGGGCAAGGTGCTAGAGCAGGTTGTGGCTTCTCGGCTCCAGAAGTTCCTGGATGAGACGGATTATCTAGATCCATTTCAATCTGGCTTCAGGCCTGGTCTTGGGGTGGAGACTGCTTTGATCACCTTGGTGGACAACCTACGCCAGGAACTAGACAGAAGGAGTGTGTCCCTGTCAGTCCTGCTGGACCTGTCAGAGGCTTTTGATACCATCGACCATGGTATCCTTATGGGCTCTCTCTCTTGGGTGGGACTTCGGAGGCATTGTTTTACAGTGGCTCCGGTCCTTCCTGGAAGGGAGAACCCACTGGGTAGTGCTGGGGGACTCCTGTTCAACACTCTGGCCTTTGGCCTGTGTTGTCCCTCAGGGATGTTTTGTCCCCTGTGCTTTTTAACATCTACATGAAATTGCTGGGAGAGGTTTCTGAGTTTGGGGGTTCGATGTCACCAGTACAGTGGTGCCTCGACTTACGACCAATTCGAGCTACGACCAGCCCCGGCCGCAAAATTTTGCTTCAACTTGCAACCTGTGCTTTGAGTTATGAACGGAAAAAAGGCAGGGAATTTGAACTGCTTTCAGTTAACCGTTGGTCAGCGAAGAGGCTGCTTCTCCGTAGCTCAATCGCCCCAGTGGTTAGAGAGTGTGGGTTCAGAGAGAGACTTTGGACTGCCAGGTACTGTACTGTATTTTTTTTTTTTTCTTTTTTTTTAAAAAATT